GCAGAAGGTCCCATGTGGTCTAGTGGTTAGGATTCCTGGCTTTCACCCAGGCGTCCCGGGTTCGATTCCCGGCATGGGAAGTGAGGTTCCATAGTGTGATGGTTAGCACCCTGGACTCTGAATCCAGCGATCTGAGTTCAAATCTCGGTGGGACCTTATTCTTTTGTCCTGTGTCCACTCAACCGGTACAGTTGCTGTAATAGCATCAGGCACGGGCACATGGGGCGGCATACTGTCTATAAGCAGACTTAATTCCAATAAATATATACTATAGAAACAGATTTAAAAAGAAACGCTTATTATTTGACTAAAAAGTAGAAATATCTTCCATATTTTAATGATTTTCTACTTTTTAGCTTTTAATTGATAATTCATTATTATAAATGCCACGGCATCTTGAGATAATTTTTTTCAAATTTACTACCAGGTGGAGCCACTCGTATGAAATCAAAATTTAATCAAACTAATCGATTCATTGATAAATAAATTCTAAAAAATTAAAATAATGCATTGTCATCGAAAATAAAAAAAATTCAAAACTCTAGCACATCAGGATGGATGGCAAAATTCCGTCCTTACGAACAGAAAACAAGTGAAGTTAATGAAAGTGCTTAAGAATGAAAATAATAACAATAAAATTGTAGGTACGTATCCCTAATTTTAGCCGAAATTTATGGACGGAATGTCTTTCAGTCTGTTCTTCTGCCCGTGTGCTTGTGAGCATGATAACTCACAAACACAATTATTTAGGTGCATGTAATTTCGTATATGGTCTTATCATCAGAATTGTAAACCTGTGTTAAACTTGAAATATTCATTGACTGCCTATCAGTCTGTGTATTTGTATGTCCTGTCTATTGTATGTGAACAAGATAACTCAAAAACACAAACGAGTTAGATAAATGAAATTAGATATGTGGTTTTGACATCAAAATTGTAATTTCTGTCAAATTTTGGATCAATTCAATGAAGGAGAAGAGGTAAAAAAAAAAGATATTCGATTTTCTTCGGTATCAAGCAAATCTGGACACAAAACGCATGATATAGTGGAAATAAGGTACCTTTAAGTAAGGTAAGGTTTTTTTTCGGAACGCTTTAGTGCGGAAAAGTTGCCTATTGTAATAAGAAAGAAAACGGCATAAAAAAATTAAAATCGGTTAACATCTTCCGTTCGCGCATCGTACTTAAAGTTAATGAAAAATTGCAAAATCGCGCCTTTTTTTGTAAATTTTTTAAGTTATTAAAACTTTTAAAATAAACACGCTTTAGTTTTTTATGCCTGTTTTATGGTTTAAATAACATAAATAAATTAAATTCTGATCAATAATCTAATTTTTTCCGTTCGCGCAACGTCTCAGAAAAAACAGAAATATACCAATTTTTCGAAATTTTCACTGTGCAACTCTTCGCTTGTTCTGCAAGGACAAAACGACCCAGAACTCACCACGTGTAATTCCACCCACACCCTATCCAACCAATCATCCAATTGTTGGGTGTGGTATTTACATTATATTTACAACTATTTACAAAGATTTTCCATAGAGTAGGATTCTTTGGCTTATTGTGCTTTTTGCTTTTCCTTTCTTATATCTACTACACATTTAAAGTCTGATTTTTTGGAGAAATTAGGCATAATCGATCTAGACTTCAGTGTTGCTCGGATATAGTCATCTCTAGCTTCATG